TTGCGTTAACAACATATCGCAAATTTAGCAGCTTAAAATAGCACCCGTTTACTATCTTGCAGGTCTGGGCTCTGGACACAGGTTCACTGGGTCCTCTGCTCAGGGTCCCACTGGGCTGCAGTCAAGGTTTGGGTTGGGGCTGAGTTCTCATCTGAGCCCTGGGGGCTCCTCCCACGCTCAGTGGTTGTGGGCAAAATGCAGTTCCTTTGAGTTGCAGAACTGAGGCCCTCGCTCCTAGAGGCTGTTGCCATTACTTGCCACACAGCCTTCTCTCCAGTGTGGCAGTTTGTTTCTTCATGGCCAACAAGAGAATGTCTCTGCCGCTTCTTGTCTTTTTTTTTTTTTTTTTAAAGCTCAGCTGATTAGGCGAGATAAACTCAAGAAAATCATCTCCCGTTTGATGAACTCAAAGTCAACTGAGTAGGGATCTTAAACTTCCCATTGCCATATAATGTAATAGAATTCACAGGTTTCACCTCCCCTCAAGCTGGTGGGGGACTACATAGGGTACATACAGGAGAGGACAGGTATCTTGGGGGCTATCCTAGAATTCTGCCTACCACGGCGGCGGGGTGGGGGTGGGTGGTGGGCTGGATGTATCTGAATAAGCAGAGGAGAAACCTCCTTGCTGCACTTTGTATCATTTTTATGAGAACAAACATTATTGGGAGTACTAAGACCACTAGCTTTCAAGGCTGAGCCATGGTGTAATTGTTAAACAGGGAAGAAAGGGGGGCAGGGTGAACCTGAAGATGTGGGACAGCTTTGCAATAAATGGTAGTAGTGCAATGAGCTTACGAATGACTTATCAACTTTCGTTGAACTGTTGCTTAGAGAAAGGGATAGAATTTTTTTTAAGAAGGAAAATGGGAGTTTTCCCTGGAAGAGCTCCATTAGTGCCTGTATGTCTGCCTCCAGTGGACACATACTCGTTAATGCTCTGTAACCAAAGGACAAAACTGAGAGCAAAGGAATTAAAGAGTTTTCCTTCCCTTCCTCGTCTAAGAGATAAACACAATTGTGGCAACTGATGAGTGAAATGTTCACCTGCTAATGCATGGCAGAAATCCATTATAGCTTGTCAGCAGATAAAGAAAAAGACTACATGGGGAGAGGTGAGGATTCCGAGCCCTGAAGGCTGTCACTGAGAGAGCTGGTTCTTCCCAGGAACCACGTCCTGGCTGCCTGTGTTGGAACTCCTGTGTTAGTCTTTGCATCTGCAAATCCACAGTCCTGAGCAGCAGGCCGAGTTCTGCAGCCCAGAAACTCAGCACTCGCTTGCCCAGTAGGAACAGTAAGAATGTTTTGGGCATCAGCAAAGCAGTGGTACCAAAAAATGCTTTTTTTCAAATAACTTTATATTTTATGTTTAATAGTGAGGAAAGAGAATTTTACAGAACTTCTTTACATTTATTTTATGATTGCTGATTTATGCTTTAATTTGGGACTACCTACTGCAGAAAGGTGGAGATGGAGGAGTGGAGACTATGATCTTTTTGGTGTTAGGGCCTTTAGAAGTCTAGAGGTCTTGGACTACCTCCAGGGAACGGTACAATAGTAGAACAGAGGAGTCAGCTAGAGGGCTCTTCTCCCAACCGACTGCTTCCAGGCACAATCACATCTAAACCATTTTCACACAGAACCAGAGAACATATACTCCAGGAGGGCAAGGATTCTTGTGTGTTTTGTTCTGTGCTATATCCCAGCACCCAGCACTGTGCCTAGGACATAAGAGCTATTTGGAAAATATTCCAGGTGTGGATAGATGTTTCCATTTTCAGCAGTCTCTTCCTGCCCACCACCATGTTGCCCATCTCCCTTCATTCACGTAAGATCCCAAGGCATCATCAGATAATGTTTTGTGTTTCTGATATATACCTCCTGATAAAAAAATAATCTGAGGGCACTTTTCAAATATACAGAGTACTAGGCCTCTGCAGGAAATTCTGGTTCAGGAAGTCTAGGCTGGAGCCCAGTAGTCTGTTTTTGACAAGCACTTCTGATGAGTTTTCTTCAGATGAACACTGAGATAAACAGCAGGAGCTTAGCTCTTCCCCATACAAAGATTAAGGCGCCATGGCCACTTGACCTGGTTTCTGAGGGGCTATAAAAGTCTTCTGGTCTATCCCCAAGTCACCTGGGCTCAGCCCTGAATCCTGGTTCCTACTTTCCTAAAGGGATGGGCCTGGGAGAGGAAGTGCTCAGGAGCCCCTCCACTCCTGGAACTGCCCACTGAACTTCTTGGCCTCTTCTTTTCCCCAGGCAAGCTCTCTGTTCAGTACCTTCTCCCAGCTGCCACTAGCACATGAATTCCCACCCACCTCTACTAAGTTTGATAACGACCTTTGTCCTCTTAGATGGCAGTTGACCTCTGCAACCAGGCAGGGGCTGACTTTTTAGTCAGTCTTCGTCACTGAACCAGAGCATTCCTCCGAGGGTGGCTAAATAAAGCCTCTGCCTTCGCATTCCCCGCTACTTGACACAGGAGAGAAGGGAGGCTCCCATCTAGATATGGCCTGCCCTTTCTACCTCAAGGCCTCCCATGCCTCATGTGAGGCCTGAAGAGGCTGGTTTCTCCCTTAGTGATTCCTTCTAGGTTTTCTTGTCCCCAGAACTCAGTGACCCCTGACTGGTTCACCAAGCACTTACGGTTTCCAAGGAAAGGGCTGAGGTTATAGAGTAAATGACAAAAGAAAAGTGGCTGCCTTTATGCTTGGCCCCATAGAACTCTGCCCTAAAAATACTCTCCCCTACCCAGGAAGATAATTCTGGGATCTCTAACCCTTGGGCCTGAATTATTAGAGATTAAACACCAAGGAAGAAAAAATCTAGGTCAAAGGGAGTAATCTGCTCTGTAGCTGAAGGTGAGAGAATATAATAGAATATTCATGGTTATGGTTGTCCAATAGAATAGCTACCTATAGCTATTTAAACTTAAAGTTTTTATTTATTTATTTATTTATTTTTTTAAAAGATTTTATTTATTTATGTATTAGAGAGCGAGAGTGAGAGAGAGAACACAAGCAGGGGGAGTAGGAGAGGGAGAAGCAGGCTTCCCGCTGAGCTGGGAGCCCGATGCGGGGCTCGATCCCAGGACGCTGGGACCATGACCTGAGCTGAAGGCAGACGCTTAACGACTGAGCCACCCAGGCGCCCCTAAACTTAAAGTTTTTAAAAAAATAAAGTGTTTAATAGCCAATATGGCTAGTGGCTACCATATCGGATGGCATATCACAGAAATTTCTGTTGCGTGGCATTATTTACAAGTACGGAATTGTCCCTTTGACGCTGCCCACGTGATATTTCTTTAGTATCTTTGGAAATATGTCTGTTTCTATTGGTGGTCCTTGTGATTATGATGCATTATTCTAGGGGAAAAAAAAAAAAAAAAAGACTACCGAAGACTGCATTAGAAAAGAAAACCAAGGGGCACCTGGGTGGCTCAGTCACTTGTGTCCAACTCTTGATTTTGGCTCAGTCATGATCTCAGGGCTGTGGGTCGAGCCCTGCATCGGGCTCCACACTGAGCATGGAGCCTGCTTGAGATTCTTTCTCCCTCTCTGCCCCTCCCCCCACTAGTGCACACACTCTCTCTCTCTCTCAAAAAAAAAAAATAAAATAAAAATTAAAAAAAAGAAAAAGAAAACCCAAACTAATTGCCATAAATGCAGTACCGGGTGGGGGGAGGAGGATTAATTACCAAAAGGTTGCATTTTCCCCAGTTTTCTTCTATTTCCTTTCTACAAAAGTGTCCTCCCTCCTTTTCCATTTGTCTTCCTGCTTTATCTGTCAAGTATCTTGTTCTGTGTAAGGCTTCCCGGACAAAATGAAATGGTAAGCTGGACTTCAAAAAGAAAAGGATCGGAGAAGAACCAAAAGTCTGTTTGGGGCATAGGAATAAACAGTTGGGCAGAACACGCCCAAATCGTACACTGGGGAAAAGGTGGGAAAAGAAGCAGAGGGAGACAATGAGACTGACTGGGAGAACAGGGGTCTGGTCACGATAACAGGTCTGGCAAGTGAAGCCCTCTGGGCCAGTTCTCACTATTCCTGAGGCTGGCGAGCTGCCCAGGTGCTCAGGAGTTCCCCCGTACTGTAATTTCCTAACCAGAATCGTCCTGCTTAGGACCAGCTCTTCCCATGAGAATTTATCTGAAGATAAATTTATCTGACGATCATTCGTAGGTGATCTCTATCCTAGGCTCAGTATGTACATGAAGACCTAGGGCGTGTTTGGGGGAAAGAGGCCTCTTTCCCTGATCTCTTGGATGAGTTGCAAGGACGGTACCCCTCTCCTCACCTGCACTGTCTGTGGTTTCCTCACCTAACCCCCAGTACCCCTGCAATGGGTTCTTCAGTGCTTGTCCTCTCCCCTAGAAGAAACTAGGGAAGCTGAGCAATGCTTCAAAAGATGGCAGGCAACGGAGTTGGCAAGCAAGATAGGTGAAATAATCAGGGTTGGGGGCCAGGGGTCATAGGAGACAGAAAGCAGAGCAAGGGAGAAGCAAAGTTCAGGTGGGCATCAGGAGCAGGTGTGCAGAACTTTAATTCTGAGGCCCTGTGGCCAGAAGACTGGAGCTAGGGTGACCTTTTTGACTCATTCCTGAGGCTTTTCTCTGCATTCTTGGAAGGCAGAACCCCCCCCCCCCCCCCCCCCGCCACTTCCCCGCATCCCACTCCCAAGCATGGATGGCCAAGAGTTTGTCCAGGTTGATGAGCGACTGTGTCAGAGAGTGCAAAGAGGTGTGGAGAGAAAGTAAGCTGGTCACAGGCAGATGGTTGGTGTCCTGGGGTCTCCCATCCCTTAGCTTGGGGGCAAAGGTGGTCTCTTTCCCTACTGTACGCGACAGACCCTTCTCCAGCCTTGAGTGCGTTCCTAATGTGAACGCAGCGCTCTGGACTTCCACTCCACCCAGACTCCACTCCCGTCCCCCACCGCAGGCTCTGCCAGATGCACAATTTAAAGCTTGTGATGTATAACGGCCCATTTCTCTCTCTGTCTTGCAGCCGTCTCCAGCCTGGACATTGAGAGTAAACTGAGCGTATACTACCGTGCCCCATGGCACCAGCAGAGAAACCTCTTCCTCCCGGCCACAAGGCCACCCTGCGTGGAGGAGCTGCACCACCATGCCCGGCAGAGCCTGCAAGCCCTGCGCAGAGGTAACTGGTCCCCGGCTCGGAGGGCTTTTCGGGGAGAGGACTCAGAGCTTGTCCCATCCAGGGGCTGTTCTTTGTCCCATCAGTTCTAACACCTCACCTTGTTATAGCAACTACTTCGAAATGCTCCCTTTTCTACACGGAAATGAAATTCAGGGGTAATATAACCTGCTTATACATATAATTAGAGATAGCACCATGGTCTAAATATGATAATAAAGAGAATTTAAAAGGAAATGTATAATATTTGCAACATACAAACACCTGGGCATGACTACACTAAAAGACATCATAAAGCAGTCAGATGTTTGTGGCTATCAAAAGTAGGTTTGGATTAAGTAAAGAGAATCAGAAGCCATTCTGAACAAAAAGTAGAGGGAAATGAAGGAGAGTTAAGGGGCAGGAGGACACAACCATCAAAACTGGTGCATTCTGCATACATTAAACATGAGCAAAAAAACCACAGGGGAAAAAAAAACAACAAAAAGAAAACCCTTTGGGTTATAATTAAAAGAGAATTAGGTTTGACTCAGAAATAGGTTCTAGGCTTTTCCCTGACAAGAAATGCTGGTAGAACACAGGTGGAACCTAGGGCACTATTTGTTTATTCAGGACCCTCCTGTGCCTTGTAGGACAGCTGTCATCCTTGGCTCTCGCCTAGTCATCTAACAACCAGAACCTCCCTCGGGGGATGTGCTCCTGTCGAGAACCGATGATCAGGTCCATTCTACAGTGGAGCACGTGGAGGCCTAGAGAGGTCAGAAAACTTGCTCAGGGTCACATACCCCATTAGGCAGAGTTCCAAGAACCCGATCCAGGCCTCCAGACCCCCAGCCAGAGCTCTTTTCCTCCTCACCATACGGTGTCCTAGGAAAATAAATATTTCTCTTTCTCTTTCTCTCACAGTCCTGAAAAAGCCAGAGATAGACACATAGCAGGCAAGGTAGAAGGTAACAGCCTTCTCGTACTTTCCAGTGGCTTAAAACCATTGTAGTTAGGACAAGGAGATTAAAAACTGGCATCACCCTTTTAGAGCCCCCTAAGTTGGGTATCAGAAGTTGGCACACCAGCTTTTTTGGTCTTTGGATTTTTGATGTGGAGACAGATGGTATCTGTACATTCAGTGCCTTTGTTCCAAATTCCCTATGCTCCTTTAAGGAATAGTATTTTCCCAAAGTATTACTATGAAAAAAAAAAACACACATTTTATTGTCACTATGAGGATGGAGAAATGACACATTTGTTTTCAACTTATTTTCTTCCACATGTTTATGACTTTTCCCTTTCTCCATATCCCATCTTCTCCCCCCTTTAACAAAAGAATTAACCTACTAATATCCCTAATGCAGCTGTTTCTAAAAACTCCCCTTGGTTATTGGTGGCAGATACTGTGACACCTATAATAGTGATGACCAATATCCTCTAGAAGTCTCTCTGGCATTCTTACTATTCACTTGGATTTTTTAAATTGAGTCACTTCGATTTTGTAGTTGGCTAAAAAGTCCTTCTTTACCAAATTTTTAGTGCAAGCCATCTTCTGGAAATTTTCCTCAACATACTCACCGTTCCTTTGCAGCCTCGATAACCCTTCCCATAATATCCTTTGCATCTTCCCAGTCGTGCCACTTACAAGCTTCTATCATCACTAACCTCTTATAGGCCTGTCTTCCACCATTAATCCATGAGCAACTCAAGAGCTCTGGATGGTGTCTTATTAATTTTTTTATTCAAATCACTTAGCATGAACCTGACATAGAGTAGGTCCTCAATGAATGTGTAAGTAAATCAAATTCTGTAGAAAAGTGCTTGAGCATTGAGGGCATAGAATGATGACACAGGAATCGGATCATTCTCACTAGATACTTTCTCTGATCCCATCATCAGAGAGCTTGAGTTACGTTAGCCCTTTAGACATAATTATTTTTATCCTTTTATTATTATTCATAAGTCATCCCTGATTAGATTTTTCCAGATGCAACCAGATAACATTAAGCTGCTTGTAAGCGATCACATTTCACTGCGTTGTCGGGTTTGGACTTAATGACAGAACTGAGGAACAGCAAGTGCCAATATCAATTTTCTCAGAACTTCCTCCTGGGGGCTGAGGGAGGGATATAATGCCTCCTGGGGTTTTAGAAGGAAGACTGTGGAGCTGCATCTTGTCCTCCACAGACTGGCTTTCTTTGAGGTTGTCTCAACAGCAAATCTTGGGTGTAGTAGTTTTAATAGCACTGCAGAGAGCCATAAACAGGAATTATAGGCATCATAGAATTAAAAACATGCAGTGTGGAATTAAAATTAGAAAGTGACTTTTTTTTTTAACCTTGTCCAAGAAACAGTAGCTTAGCAGTGCATTCATCAGAATACCACTTCTGCCATCTGGTGGCCATAACTAACACCAGACAACGGCCTTGCTCGGCAGATGCCGCAGTGAGCTTCCCTGGAGGTTCTCTATTTGGACAGCTGGAAGATCCTGGCTTCCACCAGGACTGAGTGGATAATGAAGCCCAGACAAGTAAAGCCGCGGTGGCAGCAGCGCTGTGCTCTTTTTGGAGGTGAGGCTCTAAGGAGAGAGCTGGGAGGACTGAGATCAGAACCTAGAAATTGGCTGCTTTCAAGATCTGCTCAGTAGCAAACCCCTCGGCAAAGCCTACTGAGGCCCCAGCATCGTGCTAAACCTGGGATTCAGAGAGCAATAACTAACATCTGGTCCCTGTCCACAGGGAATGCCTGTCTGGTGAAGGAGACAGGCAAGTAACCAGGTAATTTCAGCACAGTGCTATGGGAGCTCAGAGGAGAGGCACTAATCATGCCATGGAGCTTCAGAGAAGGCTTCCCAGAGCAAGTTACACCTCATGGGGTTTTGAATTACTTAGAATCTGATTCCTCTTTTTTTCCCCTTTTTCTTGGCAATTCTTTATACTCAGAGCCAATAATGGCTCTAAGTGATGCCATCGTTTATGTTTGCAAGACAGGGAGAGAGATTACTAAGTGGCTATAAAGAGATATTTATATTTTCTTTCAAGTTTCAGGGCTGAGGTCTAAGTTCCACTGGTCTAAAGGAATAAGGACCAAAAGTCTACTGCAGTTTTAGACTCTAGCAGATGAATGTTCTCCCCACCACACCGCCAGAGAAAAGCATTATTAGGGAGCTATTAATCTAGCCTGCCTCCTTCCAGCCTAGGGCAAATGAAAGAGAGGTTTAAGAAAGTGTAGGAAGGGAGCAACTAAATGGGAAATTGAGTTCATGTCTCCCTCCCAACTCCCTTCCTCCAGCCTTTTCCTAACCAGTGACACCTGTGTTCTACTCCTCGGCATGAATTTTAAAATGTAACTTTTTCCTTGTGCTGCCCATTTAGAAAAGCCCACTGTTTGCTCGCAGAGACAAACGGGGGCGGCACTGGAGGGAGACACTTTAACGAGGAAGACATTTACCTCAAAAGGGATTTCTGATAAACACTGGCTGTGGCGGCAGAGTTCAGCACCGACTATCTGTACGGTGACTTTGTATCTTGGTTCGACGGGGGGGCCCCAGGCATGAGCTCACCGAGCTGCATTTGCAGGCAGGGCGGCCTTTACTGTGGCCAGTGTGTTGGGCAGGGTGTGCTTTGTAGCTCACTGAAACACCCAGAAAGCTAAACTGTGCTCTTGGGTTCTCAGTGATTCTTGTTATGAAGTCAGGACCACTTTATCCCACAAACAGAAATCTCTTGGCTTTCCTCAGAGGTAGCTTTATTCTTAAACCAGACAACTGTCATCATTGGGATTCCTTTACTTTCTCGAGGAGCCTAGGATTTCAAAGGCCCCTGAGTGTTAGGCATGACAGAGCTCAGACGGCTGCAATGGTGTGCTGGCTCTCTAGAAAAGAAAACATAGATGAATAAGTAGATAGATGGCAGGAAGATAAAAGCCCTGATGTGTAACACCCACTAATTTCTGTGATGTAGATACCCCCACCGTAGCCTGTTTCAAGCTACCAGTGGCCCGCAGAGTTCCTGACCACGCAGCAGCCAGCAGCCCTGAGCCCGTGTGAGCTGACTGACTGCATCGCCCGCCGGATGGCTGGGAGCCCTTGTTCCCGCCACTCCCCAAGAGGCTCTGGCATGCTTGTGCCTGCGATCCACTCCAGCATCAGTGTCAGCAAACCTTCCACCATTATTCTAGACTTTTTTTTGCTCGTGTTGTTTTGAAATGAAGCGCGTTGAAAATACACTGCTTTTTCCAAGCTCAGAGTGCGCCATCTCATACAAGGATTATGAGATGGACCCGCTAAAATATAAGTGCCCATTTACATATTATTGTGAAGTGAAAGTTTAGTTTGGAACCATTCTGAAAATCTTATATTGGTATACAGATGAGCTATATTAGGAAAAACTCACTTTTTTCTCGCCTTTTGCTCACCCTCCCAAGGGGGAAAGAGAAATGGAAAATGCCAAGGATGTTTCTGTATCATTGCTTTCTCTGCCCCCAGAACACCGGAGCCGGAGTGATCGCCGGGAGCAGAGAGCTGCTGTCCCCCTTTCGGTGGCGGCTCCTCCACTGCCAGCCTATCCCCCAGCTCACAGCCAGAGGAGGCGCGAAGTTAAGGACCGGCACTTCTTAACGGTGAGCTTGGTGGCCAGCCAGCAGCCCTGGCCTTGCTCATCGGGAAGCATGAGTGGGTCTCGGGAGTCCATTTCCTTCCTCCTGGTGGAGGAGGCTGGGCCGCCTAAGAGAGCAAGTCGTGGGCATTTGAGAGTGACTGGATTTTCTTACCCCTTTCATTCATGCGTCTTTGGGGGAATAGAGTGGGAATACAGAGGTATTTTTTTTTTTTTTTTAGTTAATTGCTTGTACAGTGCAGCAAAGCAATAATAATTAAGGACTCTGAAATTGGGGGAAAATTTTGCTTCAAACACTAGTTTTTCTGTATACAAGCTGGAAGATTTAGGGCAGCTTACTTCTTTGTGCTCAGTCCCCTCATCTGTAATATGGGGATATGAATAGCACGTAGCTCATACAGTTTGAGGGGTAAGCGAGATAAGGCATGGAAAGAATGTAGCACGGTGCCTGGCATGGACTTAGGCCTCGATAAATGTTCACTGTTGCTGGTCAGGTGATGGTGTAGATGACTCGGGGAAAAAAAACTTACCCGCTGTGAAAAATCACCACTTGAAGATGAGCCATGTCATCCTTTTTCTGTAAGGAAGGCCAGCGCTGCAGGTAACCAGTTACCCAAGCGTCCTCCTCAGCTGGTGACTTCAGCTTTGCCTGGTGGGTGTGGCTGTAACTCAGCCCAAGCCCCCAGGGATGACTCGCAGATGAAGCTGAGCCCAGCTCACAATACCTACAAACATCATCACTCCAAGTGTGCTTTCGAAGGCCTTGGTGGGGATAGGTGAGCATTTTGTGCCCCTGAGGAGGGCATCGTTGAAGTGAGGGGCTATGATTTCTGTGACCAAATCAGCCCATGTGGCTGCTGGAATGGCTGGATCCCTGCTCCCTTGTCATTACAATTTGAGGCCCCAAATCTAAAGAAGTTACAAGTGTGGGTCCAAGTTGAGGTTTTCACTTGAAATTAAGTTTCTATGTATAGTAGTGAACCCTGCGCCCTTATGGCTTTTACAATACGCAAAACAGATGCAAAATATCTGGACTGCAGGATGCCAAACATCCAGCTGAGAACAGACTTCATCTAAATGAATCTGCATGTTATTACACAGCCAGCTAAAACAGTGAGTGATATTGACCAATACATAGATATTTTTCTTACTTGTGGCTGCACCACGGGCTCCATGTCCTTCAGGCTCATCAAGTTTCCTCTGTGCCATGTCACACTCAACTATGTTGCTGCAGTCCCAGGGATAAGAAAGGAAGGTGAGAGACTCTTAGGGCTTTCTGGGTCTTTATATAGAGCAGTTACACATGCTAGTGATTTGTCATAAAAGCTCCTGCTCAACAAAAGTTTTATTAAGCTCAAATCTGCTTGCTAAAGCATTTGCTTTTAATGAGGCATTTTCTGCATAAAAATGCTAAAAATATTTTTCCATTCATTATAACATGTTTTGTGGCTCATTAAGTTGTTTTTTTCAGGGGGGCGGGTGGGAGAGAATAATGTTGAGCATTTACAGAAATGACATAAAAATAACACCATTTGTCATAATCTGCATAATTTTTAATAATGTCTAAATACCAAAGTAAGGCTATAGGAAAAAGCCTAAAATAATGAACAACAATGAGGGTGCTTCATTTACCCAACAAACATCAATAAGAGGAGGAGTCTAGAGCACACTTATGTAAACCAGAAAGCTGTACCCATCTCAAATGATAATACTTAAGATCTCCCCAATTATTTAGAAATACTGTTTCGTTTATTTGATTAAGTTTGGGTCACCAAGTTCATTGGAAGATTTTCCATTCAAGTTATATCCCTCAGACCTGGAGGTGACTCCGAATAGAACACAGTTCTATGCATTAAGCTTACAAAGGCCGTATATTGCTGCCAGAGAAAAGGCTGCAGGTACAGGGACGGGAAATTTGCAACCATACTGCTGGACATCTTCTTAAGACAGCAACAGAAAAAAGCATTCATAATGAGATTCTGATACACAATCTTCCACAACTCTGCAAACTGTCATACTGTAGTCTGGTCAGTAAGGGTACAGACTGTGAAGTCAAACTGCCTGGATTTGAATATCAGCTGTAACATTTATTAGCTGTGTGACCCTGAACAAGTTAATCATTTCAGTGTCTCAGGGATAACAGTGATAGTACCTCAAGTTTGAAACAAAGACTGAATGTGTTAATACATGTAAACAGTACCTAATGCATAATAAGCACTCAATATGTATGCGACATTATCATCATCATTGTTAATAGCCAATCAAGTTCATGAAGTATCAGTGATATAGTAATAAGATTATGGGTCTAACTAGGTTTAAATCCCAGCTCTACAATTTCTTTGGTTGCATGATTTTGAAAAAGTTTTATCTTTGAGTCCCAGTTTCTTTATCTGTGAAATGGGGATAATAACTTCAATTTTACAAGGTTGTTAAGATTTAAAACAGGGTTATGTAAATACAATTAAATCGTGTGTGTATGAAAAAGTGCCTAGTATAGTGCCTAAAACACACAAATATCTGAATCTATAGTCATAATCACTTATAATCAAACTCTTACCATCAAATGAAAAGCCTATAACATATACTCACATATAAGACTAGAGGAAGTATAAGTTGTTACACTCTTTCTAGAGGGCAATTTCCCAATATTTACCAAACTGTAAGATATTAAATTATGCTAAGTGAAATAAGTCAGACAAATACCATGATTTCACTTGTATGTGGAATCTAAAAAACCAAAACAAATGAGCAAACAAAAGCAGAAAGAGACCCAAAAATACAGAGAACAAACTGATGGTTGCCAGAGGGGAGGGGAAGAGGAGATGGGCAAAATGGGTGAAGGGCAGTCATGGAATGAATAAGTCATGGGGATAAAAGGTACAGCATAGGGACTATAGTCAATGGTATTGTAATAGCCTTGGATGGTGACAGATGGGAGCTACACTTGCGGTGAGCACAGCATACTGTAGCATAGATTTGTCACATCACTGTTGTACACCTGAAACTAAGGTGACACTGTGTCTCAATTCTACTTAAATAAAAAATGTGGCCAAAAAAAAAAACTTATAAGATGGGGCGCCTGGCTGGCTCAGTTGGTGGAGCATGCGTCTCTCAGTCTCGGGGCTGTGGGTTTGAGCCTCACATTGGGTGTGGAGATTACTTAAAAAAATAAAATCTTCACCAAAAAAAACCCCTATAAGATATTCATACCCTTTGATCCAGCAATTCTGTGTCTAGGAATTTATCCCAAGGCAATGCAAAGATTTATTCACCAGGATGTTCACTGAACTAGGAAAAATAGTTACAAATATCTTAAATATCCAACAGCAGGTACTTAATGAATTCTGATATATTCATAGGATAGACTACAGTATCAAAAATAGTGTTACTAAAGAATATTCAATGACATGGAAAATGCATATATTTTATCAGAGATTTTTAAGTAGTGTATAAAATTGTGTATGGTATGAGCTCAAAAATATCTATGAGTGTATGTGTGAGTATATATACATACATGCATAGGAAAAAAGGCTGGAAGGCTATATACCTGTGGTTCCCAGACTGTGTGATGAGGTCCTCCAGGGCACTGCAGTGAAATCCTAAGGGTGCACTGGTATATTTTAAATTTTCAAGAGGTACAGTGTCCTGTTTATATCTGGTGATGACTCCAAAGTAGCCTCATAGCTCTTGCAAGTGGAAAGAGGGGATGCTTGATTTCTTGACATGTAATTTAAATCAGAAGTTCTCCAAGAGGAACACAAAGGAAACTGACCAGCCAATTTAGCTTAAAACCCACCGTCAGCTGAAAATTCAAGGTCTCTCTCACAATTTTAAAGTCCATCTGGGAATCTTCCTCCTTCAAGCGTAGCAAAGGAGATGATCTCAGGCCCAGATGGTTTTCCAGAGGAATTCTAAACCTCCCAAGTCCAGAGAATCCCAATGCTCTATAAATTGTTTGAGAGCACTGAAAATAAAATAGAACTTCCCCATTTCTTTTATGAACATTTTATGAAGGTTTGACACCTAAACCTGATAAAGAATGGAAGGAAGGGAGGGAGGGGGAGGGAATATAGACCAGTATCACTCAGGTTATTAATGCGGAAATAATAAATTAAATGTGAGCAAACAATACCACATTAAGAAAATAATATACCATGACTAAATGGGATTTATTCTAGGAATAGAAGGTTGGTTCAATATTAAGAAATCTATTAGTATCATATACCATATTTAAAGGAAAAAAACCCCCATATGATTATCTCTGTAGATGCCAGAGAGGCCTTAAATAAAATTCAACACCTATTCTTTATAAAAAGACTTGAGAAAATAGGAATTGAGCGGTACTTCATTAACATGATAAAATATACATATCTTAGCCCTAAAGCCAGTCTCTTAAAGGGGAAACACTAGAGGCATTTCCACTAAAATCAGGAACAAGGCAAAGATGCTCACTATCTCTGCTACTAATTAATATTATACTAGAGAGATTAATCAATGCAATTGCACAAAATCAATTACAGGCGTAAGATTTGATAAGGAAGAAGTAAAGCTATATCTAGTTGCAGATGATATGATACTATAGGATTTTCCTGGTAGAGAATCAATGATAAAACTAACTCAAACACTAAAAGAATTCAGTAAGGTAGCAGGATACAAACACACAAAAATCAATAGCCTTCATTTACACAAATGATAGCCAATTAAAAGACCTAGTAGTAGAGAAAACTCCATTTACAGCAATAACAAATAAGATTAAATACTTAGGAATTAATTTACCAGAATGTGCAAAACCTGTATGAGAAAAACTATAAAGCATTCCTAAAAAACACAAAATTAGATTTTCTCAAATGGAAGGATGTCCCCTATTCTTAGAAAGAATGATTCAGCATTATAAGTAGGTAAGTTCTAAGTTAATTTATAAATTTAGCACAATCTCAGTAAAAAAATACCAATAAGCTTTCTTTTAAATGGAGTTAGACCCATTGATACTAAAGTTTTTATGGA